TCTCTGTACTTCCACAGCATTCCACTGGCATTCAAATCACCCGGCAGCTCGAGCACAGGACAAGGCTCACCTCGCCACATCGCAAATTCAAAACCCTCAATTGCCCTGCTCTCCCGTCCTCTCCGTAATTCCGCTTCCATGTGAAGAGGTGATTCGCATCGCCTGGCGTCTGCCTTGGTCCTGCGACTTGGTGAGATGCCGCCCCTCGGCTAATTTAGCCTCCTAACTACAAAAGCCCAAAAAAATTGCAGGAGATCATCTGATCTAAATTCGCGGGACCTCGCGGGGAGCTGAAAGCGGGTGGTCGGAGAGCAGGGCACTCTTTTGTTTTGGTTTTGGTTTTGTCTTGCCTCGGACTTGTTTCTATAACCATTCCCAGCAGTCCATTTCTCCGTTCCTTTCACGTCGAAATTTCGCGCGATCTCGCCAGGTTGTACGTAGTCTGAGGCTAGTAGTAGTCCCGCGGCCCTTTGGACTTGAATAGTTTAAGATACAAAAATAACGGAGGAATATAAACATTCACTTCGCTCCGTGTGGGGCGTGGAATGTTCAAATTAGGTTCATGCACTACTGTAGTAGTAGACTTGGAAATCGCAATGAATATGCCCCCCTTTTTATCAACATCAAACGGCGCATCTGCATCTGCATCCTCCTCCCCGCGCTGCACCTCGACGGGAGGCACGAGCTGCAGCGGAATAGATCTGTGCGCTGGGACACTGTCGCGTTCCGCGGAGTGGCCATGGGCGAGCGACATACTGCCCGACTCGCGCAGAAGTCCGAGGCGCGTGTGGCGGTAGACGCGGCACGCCATGATGCTCGTGAGCGCGATGTTGGGGATCGCGGGGAGGCTACGATACACGGGGCTCACGCCCGGCGCGTAGATCATTGCCGACAGTGCGAGGTTGCTCACGACTGTGATCCTGCCCGCAGTGCCGATATCAGCGGTTAGTCTTATCATTGGATATACAATGGGGCGGACGCACATATAATACATCTGCCCGTCGACGAAGAGCGACTTGGAGAAGGAGGGGAGATATCCGCCGCTGAAGAACGCCTTGAGCGCGGCGGCGCGGCTCCGCTGCTGGACGTGCGTGTTCGCGAGCAGGCGGTACGAAATTGCGATGAAGACGGCCGTGTCATGCACGGTGGGCGTGATCGCTGCGGCGCCTGTATATGGTGCGAGCTCGGAGATGAGGCAGAACCGCGTGGCACCAATGTTCACACCGCCACCGCCGAAGGGCACGGTCAGGCAGGCACCAAAAACCGCGAGCCAGAGGAGCGCGAAGCACGCAGTTACGGTGCGCTGGGCGCCGTAGATAGCGCGCACGCGAAGGAAGAAGAGCATGCAGGTAGCGGGTACAGCGATGGGGTAGAAGCAGTCAAATATGAGATCGGCAGTTGCGCAGTCGCCGACGGGGTATGCTGGGAACATCTGGAGGTTAATTCGGCGGAAATGAATATGGATCTGCACAGACTGGTAAAGACCGTGAATCCGAGGACGTACACGAGGGACGCGATTCTACTCGTTGCATGAATGGATGATGATCAGATAATTGCGAGAGGAGAATTACCTGGATGTAAAGTACGCGATGACAGGCCATCGTATTGGGAACTTGAATAGCATAAGATAGTCCGCATGAAGATTGTTCAATATATCCCAGACGAAAATCTGAAGCCATCGATTGAGAAATAGTGAGTATTGAGGTTGAGATGAATAAAATAAAATAAATTACGGCGGTAGCGCCTGAAAAGACATATCGCGAGACCTCTAGCTGGCGCGCAAGATCGGGAGCAAGGAAGGAAAGGCTCTCATCTCTGCAAATAATGCGGTCCGTGCCGGGTGGGAGATTGGACATAAGAGTGGAGATGGGTGGGTTCGGGGAACTGAAGGTGGAGTCCGCGCGTCTGAGGTTATATGCCACGGGCAGCGCTTCCCGGTTAATTTTGTCTGCCATGGTTCACAGATATCTTAAGCTCGTTCGAGATCATCATCGAGAAGTGGAGTTAACAGCACCGGGACGCTGTCTTCCGACACATCGATTTGGCTTTCCGAAGGGCAAGAGATCGTCTGTGACTGGGTTTATTAAAAGATAGAGGGGGCATATGAGTACGGGATGGAGATTTACGTTGATAGCAAGTTTGACTCGATCGGCAAGCCAGATGAATATTCGCACCCTTTCGAATTTGCGGGTAAGTCCCTTGCCAACAATAAGACAGGCCCTCACGACCGTACGGGCTTCGTTGTTTTCGGCCATCATGGCAGAAGAACCTTTGGACTGCCTGTTACAGAAAAATTCTCCCTCGGGGATTCATGTACAGCGGAGCCATCATCCTCTTGTGAAGCTCCGTGGCATGTGACCGCGGGGAGGAAACAGATATCGTGTGGAAGGAGGCAATCGAAACATCACCGCGGACAAGAAAAGACCAAATTTAGGATGTCATCCAGACGGATGCGGATCTTGAGTGTTGCCGGGGTCGAGTTCAGAACCGATTCCGACCCCAGGTCAGGTTCGGGACTCGGATGACCGTACATAATCTTGACCGTCTTGAGTTGCACTGCCCGTCCTTGTCCAACGTTCTGTCAATGGGTACCATCGAATGAAGGGCATCCATTCCTGATCCGAGTACTCTTGGCTACAGACTGCTACAGAGACAACGGTTTGTTATTGCGGATGTGATTTCCTGATTGCAACAAAACTGAGTAATGGACATGCGCACTGCATTGCGTCGGTTTTGCGCCAAATACGTCGGAAAAGGCGCCCGTATCCTTTGGGATCGGCGGATGCGGAGAAAGCAAGGGGATCAAAGAGAGGGCGCCGACGTATTAGGCTGATGAAGAAAGCGTGCGGATCTCGTGAGTCATCCGAGGCTCGAGCCCTTTCCCGAACGACGCACCAAACGCACGCTGGGACTGAGGACGAGACTTCATAGATCTGGGTAAGAGAGATATCGAGTCACTCAGTGGCTATCAGCTGAGCTTCCAGGTTTGAGGCCGCGCGCGCACTGACCGATCAGAGGAGACTAAAGAACAAGAAGGAGCGTTTGAAACTTGAGCGCAGAGTTGGCACAGCAGTGCGTCACGGTAGAAGTCGGAAAGAGATTGCGGAGATTGCCGTATTCGATTCGGCATCACTGATTGCCGATAGCAGCGCATTTCATTGAGGCGAGCCTGCTATGGGTGGTGAACTCGTAACCTCCTTCTTAGCTCTTAAAGTCGGTATGTATCCGCAGCGGATTTCAAAATTAACGGTTCCTTGAGAAAAAAATAGACCCCTTTTCAACCATTCCAGGCTTGAATCGAACAAGGATTCCCTTGTCGTCAATTCTGGTACACAACTTTGTGCGGGTGCGGGACCACCCGCCACCGGAACTTTTTTTAACCACCTCTGACCTAGGTGGGTGAGGTATCATTGATAAAAGGCGACAAAAGCATACGGGCCTGCTGGTTCAATGTATGATAAAAGAAAATTTTGCGATCATGTTATGAACAGGACATACTTACCCTCGAGGAGCAAAGAAGCTTACTGCAGTGGCTCCGCGCGCACTCGAGAATGAAAAGGCTTTGGTTTTTGCCGGTTCAAAGCCTGGGCTCGAATGGGACAAGCACCTCTACAACACAACATATTCAACAATATTGGATGTAGGCGCGGACTACCCGCCACCGGGCCTTGTTGTCTCCCTCTCGAACCTAGATAGTGAGGTGTCAACGAAATCCGACTCAGTCGAAGAGGTGGCTCTCTGGTCTCGACGGTTAAATTTTCAACGAGAGCCAATAATATATACGGATGTTGCCGTGGAATCTGTAAGTACAATTTATCAGGTATAGAGATTTGCGAAGAACAAGCTCACTGGAGAAAAGGTTTTAGCGATAAAATTCAAAGGGCCGGGCTCGAGTCGAACGAGCACTGCCCGCTCAATCATGTTTACGATGCGCTTGTCAATTGATATAGGTGCGGGACTAGGCCTTCCTCTGTGTCGTTTGAACAGAATACAGTAACGTCACTAACATTCAATTCGCAGAGTCGGGATGGGACGACCAGAATGTGACACGTACCGAAAAAAAAATGGAGACTCTACAAGGCCACATGTCATTACATATGCCTGGGAGCTAAATTGTCGGAAACCAACCACACCCACCCGACGATCAAGAGGTGGGCATGTGAGATACGGAAAAAAATCCTACAGACCAAACCGGCAAGGCCCGGGCTCGAATCGAACGAGCAGTCTCCTACGAAACTTGGCTCCAAACATTCTCATACATTGGATGTAGGCGCGGGACCACCCGCCACCGAGCCTTCTTTCTGCCGGTTTGAACTTGGGCAAGTGAGGAATTAATAAATCCCGAATGAGCGCAGCGGAAGTGCAGCTCACTGCTTGTTATATTGAGCGTCTTCGAGCGCGATCCTCCGCCGATGTGTTGTATTGCAAGTAAGGTTTTCTGAGATGATTAGGACAAGCTCACCCGGGAGAAAAATACTCGACTGCCCCCGCTATAAGGCCCAGGCTCGAGTCGAACGAGAGTCTCCTGCAAGACTTCTCTCTGTTGCAAGGATGAACTTTTGATGCGTGTGTGGGACCACCGCCACTGGGCCTTCCTCTATGAAGTTAGTTTATATATGATAAAACGGAATATCGGAATCCACCTATGCTCGCCCGCACTTGCCAAGAGACAACGAAAATAAGATATCTTACGCCTTGCCAAGACCCAGGCTCGAGTCGAACGAGCAGTCTCCTACGAAAATCGGTGATAACACTCATGCTCTTCCCTCAACAGATGTAGGCGCGGATCACCCGCTACTGGATTTTAGTTCCTCCCTCTCCAACTTAGGTAAGTGGGCCATTAATGAAACCCAGAGTAATCGCGACTAAACCATTCCTGGCAGCTCGGTGCATTGCAAAATAAATTTCTGGAATGACCAGCACGAGTTCACCTGAGAACAGAAAAAAAGGGTTACTGGCGAAGCTCACCGAGGATAAAAGGGACTATAGGCACTTTCGCAAGGCCCGGGCTCGAGTCGAACGAGCGCTTCCTGCGAGACGTAGTTACTTACATACTCCTACATTGGACGCAGGCGCGGACCATCCGCCACCGAGCCTTGCTCGAACTTGATCGAACCTGGGTAAGTGGATTATTAATGAAACCCGGAGTACATGATAGTGCGGTTCACCGCTCATGTTGACCGTCGTCGAGCCCAATCAGTGCATTGCAAAATGAGATTTTCTGAGATGACCGGGACAGATTAAACTGGCCCGAGAACAAGAAAAGAGTATCCTGTGGCCCAGCGCGCTTGGGATTACATGTAAAATAATGGTAGCTTCACGGGACAGGGCCCGGGCTCGAGTCGAACGAGCGCTTCCTGCGAGACGTGGTTCCAATCGTTCTAGTGAATTGGATGTAGGTGCGGGCCACCCGCCACCGTGCCTTGTTCTCTCCTGCTCGAACCTATTCTTAATGAAACCCGGATTAATCGCGACAAAGCATACCTGCCGGCTTGGTGTATTGCAAATTAAATTTCTGGAATGACCATGACAGGCTCACCTGGGAACAGAAAAAAAGGTTACGGGCGAAGCTCACCCGAAAATAAAAAGGTTTCCAGTGGCACCACTACAAGGCCCGGGCTCGAGTCGAACGAGCGCTTCCTGCGAGACGTGATTCCAAGCGTTCTCACACACTGATTTCAGGCGCGGGCCACCCGCCACCGGGCCCTTCTCTCTGTGAAGATCCATCCGTCGAATGAAAGCGGATCGCATAGGGTAGCTCGCCGCATTGTAGCGTTTGGACGCACCTCCCCCGATGTCAAGATGCATGTCGGATCTGGAAGTTCTTTTCGGGTATCAGCCTCTACATATTCTCGTAACATAGAGCAGAAACAAAAAGTTCATGGTAGCTCCAGTTGTAGGGCCCGGGCTCGAGTCGAACGAGCGGTTCCTGCTCGATCTGATTTCGAGGGATACAACTTGACTGAGGGGTGCGGATTGTCTGCCACCGAGCCTTCCTCCTCCCTGCTTTTAAATCAATTCTGTCTAGTGAACATGGATGAATCAATCGAAACGAGTGACTCAGAGGGAGGGGGCGTTGTAGCTCACTGATATTATTTGCATTGTATGCTGAATCGTAGCAGCTCGAGCTAGATGATGCATGAAGTTGATGATGTTAGCACCACAAGATGTTCCTAAAAAATCAGAACACGCACGCCTGGTAAGTATGGGGAAAAAAACAGTTGTTAGAGCCACCAGGGCCCGGGCTCGACTCGAACGAGCGTCGCTGGATTTCCCCTATGGAAGAGAGCACGCGGGTGTATGCAGGTGCGGGTGCGGGCCTTCTTGTCTCGGCGTCAAGTTGGATATTGAAAGAAAGACAGGATAAGCCGCGATAGAGCGGTTCCAGGTTTTTTGAAGGGGTTCATGGCGAAGCTGACCCAAGGGAAAAAAAAAACTGCAAAGAATCAGATAAGGCCGAGGCTCGAGTCGAACGAGCGCCTCGTATGTACGAGTTGGTGCTAACCATTAAGTAAACATCAACAGATGGAGGTCAGGACCATCCACCACCCCGCCTTCTTCTCTTCCCTTTGAGCGGCGAGCCTGGATCAAGGAGGTATCGAAGAATTGATCGCGATAGGGCGACTCACTCACCCCGGAAATTCTGATATTTCTGGCTGTTAGAATGACGGTGTCGTCGACGTCACGCAGGAAATATAGCAGAAGACCCTGGCAAACGCACGAGGGGATTCATTCGAATATACAGCGTACTTATACAAATATGGATGGTGAACGAGCTAGTCCGAGAGTAGAAATAGAGGAATGCTGAATAAGTCGGAGCGGGGTGGCGTGGCCGTGAACGTCGCCACAAGAATGGAGCTAGGACAGTGAGCGCGTAGTCTTGACAGCGAGCACGGACTCGAATTCCAACACTGGCCTCCCAAAAAGGTTTCTGAAACTTTTAGTTTCAGACGCGCTCCTGATATGTTTAGTTTAAGGCGCCGGACCGGGCCGGGCCGACGGGTTTTGGGTGGCCTGAAACTAAAGGTATCAGGAGCACGCCTGAAACTAAAGGTTTCTGATTCATTTTTAGGAGGCCCAAAATGAGGCTTTTTACGGAGTGACTGCTTATATCACTGGCGCCAGACAACATTGACAATTGATCCGTGGCTGCGCGCAGGCGAGAATAAAAATGTTTTGACTTAACTAAATAAGGCCTGGGCTCGACTCGAACGAGTGTCCTGTGCGTGCACGATTTTGCTTGTGGAGCGATGCAGGTGCGGGGACGGGCCTTCTCTCCGAGTCAAGTTGGATATCGGTAGACTCAGGATTATTCGCAATACAGGAGCAGCAAGATTCCAGCGACGGGGCTTGGACTAGAAGCAGAGTAACAGAGTTCAGGTACTTACTTTGTAAAGCGAACAGCGCAACGAGGATCATTATCTGGGTTTGGGTTGAGGGTGCAAGGACGGCGGCAGGGAGGAGGGGGCGGCATCGGAAGAATTCAGTGCCGTTGAATTGGGGCTAGAGTAAACCATTAAGAAGAACGGAACCATGGCAAGGAAAAGACTCCGATAGCAGGGTTTTGATTTGAGCATCGGTTGGATGAGGGAGATCCGATGCCATCACTCAGAGTCGGCGGAGCCCCAGACACGGAGATGGGCGGTAGAGGTAGTGTCATGGCGCGCATTCGGTACACGCACGCACGCACGGTTCTGACACACACTCCGTTCGATTGGGGGTCTGCCATTCGTAGTAGGATTGTTTCGAGTTGACGCTTTTTGTCTTTGTAATTTCGTCTAACTTAGCATTTTCTCGTGAATCAGTTACGTTGAAGAACGATTGATTCGTAACAAAACCCATTCATTTTCTGGTGATCTTCGAGGCACTTCCGGCTTTATACTTCACGTCAGCTACCTTCCGCTTTCATGTAATTCGGGTCCTGGTAAGCTGACGTCCCTACATACGGAGTGGGCAGAGGCGGGGTAGCGTACGGCGCATATTCGGCACACGCATGCACGCACGGTTCTTCTGTTCAATTCGAGGCCCCGCCATGCGCATCGGGGATTTTTCTTCGGGTATAAGTTTTGTATTTTCATTTGTACTTTTGTTCCCTCGATTTCGTTCTGGCAATCCTCACCCACCGACGCCTCCACAATCATTCAGTAGCAATTTTATGTTCCCAACCTCGACTGGCAGTTACTCAAACGGATCGGACCCTCAGAGCTTTAACTGTTCTACGACGACGCGACGTTCGCAAGCTCCAAACCCAACTCCTCCCGGGGAAACGGAGTGGGCAGAGGTCCAGGTGGGGTAGCGCACGGCGCATTCAGAACACCCGCACAGGTCCGAAATCGCACTCCGTTCGACTCGACTCGGGGCCCCGCCATGCGAATTGTAGTTAGCGCTTTTTCTTCGAGTTCAGGCTTTTTATTGTTGTTTTTGTTTTTATTCCGTTGAGACATTTTTTCGTGTCCGGATGAGGTACATTGAAGAAGGATTACAATAATTCGTTGCTGTTCATTCTAGCGATCTCCCACGCGCTTCCGGGTTTTAGTTCGGGTAAGTTGAGGTCCCTACGACGACGTGACGTTCGCGAGCTCCACTCCCAACGAGTCCTCTCTGGGAAACGGAGGGGGCAGATGCGGGGCGGGGTGGCGCACGGTGTGCAGTCGGCACGCAGGCACGGTTCCGAACATACTCCGTTCGATTCGAGGCTCCGCCATAGGGTGACGGTGATCATGAATAGCACTTTTTCTTCGAGTTTAGGCTTTTGTTTTTGTTTTTATTCCGTTGATTTCCTCTGAGGCATTTTCTCATGGATCAAGTACATTGATTCGTGCTGGAACCCAGCTGTATAATCCTGGCGATCTCTAACGAACTTTCGGCTTTATACTTCAGTAGCTACCGTCCCTACGGCGACGTGACGTTCGCGAGCTCCAATCCCAACTCCTCCCGGGGAAATGAATCCAGTGTCGAGTGATCACGTTACCTTCCTTGCAATTTGAATAGAGTCGGAGAGATGTTGCATAACATAGTAGATCTATTTGTGATGATTTTTGTGCGTCCACCCAACAACTCATCGAGATTACACTGCACGGAGGTCAGAGTAGAAGTAGATTGAGCTTCTAGAGACGAAAATTTTAACGCAGGGACGGACGATGACCAGTGTGGTTCATTAGATAATGGATAGTGAGGTATAGGCATAAGTGAGGAATCCCGGACTGACTTGGCAAATTGACTTGCGCTGCCAGCGGAGTTTGAATTTGGCTGGGTTGACTTGCGTGACTTGTGCGGGCATTGACTTGTGCTTGTGCTCACTTACAGCCATTCTCCCCACTCAAAATAAAAGTATACTAATCTCCTCCCAGCCACTTCTCACGCACACCACAACTACGCCAGGGTCCTCAACACTACCCTCGGCAGCGACCGACCACATTTGATGGCATCAGTTGCCCTTCGTCGTCGCCCAACGCGCTCGCCGCTGGGTAATATTTTTCATGTCCCTCAAAAAGTTCAATAGGCTAGAACTACCCTCAATTGCCTCTTTCTGAAGTACCCTCTACAGGAGGACGGAGGGAAACTGAATAATTGCGAAATAACGGTAAGTCATAGTCAAGATGAAGTCAAGATAAAAATGTCTGATTGAAGGCAGGGATGTCATGTCATCCCATGAACACAAATTGATTTGCAAGTCAATTTGGTGACTTGCCACCCGCATCCCCGCACAAGTCAATTTGCTAACGGGGATAGGGTGGCCGGCTACACCAGGGAGCAGTTCAACTTCGAACAATGAGGTGCAACATTCTTCACAGTGAGTTGAGGTCAATGATTCATTATTTAGGTATGTTCAGTGTCAATGGACGGCCCCTTATGCCTGGACTAAGTGAGTGCAAGTACAAGTCAACCTGCACAAATTACGCAATTCAACCCAGCCAAGAGTAACTTGTGCGGGCGTCGACTTGTACTTGTGCAATTCCTCCATTCAATCCAAATTGTTATAAATGTACTGAGTATTTACCTATCCAATATACGGTCCAGTTTCTAACATTATAATAGAGAGTTTGCGCAGGAGCCACTGGAGCCACTCAGTGGCTGATTTACAGTGCGCAAATGGGTGGCTCCACCTGCCAAATATCTCCGCGGATGGCTGTTGGAGCCACTGGGAACTATTTTTGGCGGGTGGAGCCACTCGTTTGCGCACTGCAAATCAGCCACTGAGTGGCGCTGATGGCTGCTGCGCAAACTCTCTAATATATCACTGTAGATTCAACTGAGTACTATTCACCTTAGTTCAGGTTCGAAGCTCTCTGGGCACCTACTCTGGATTCAACAATTCCTCATGGATATTATCTTATGGCGAAGGATGCCTAAACATGAATGGTGTACCGGCCTTGAACTTAGCTTTTCACTGGGTACTGAGCAAATACCTAGGTCAGATTGTCAGATTGTCCAATCAAGGAGCGCCAGTCCCCATTGAGCATATAGACAATCATTCCGAACAGTTCTGAGCCCTCAAATCCTTCCCTAAAGTACTTCTCGGCACATGATGTTCATTTTGCGATCAATATAAGAATCACAGTGGCTGGTGAAAATGTCAGTGAGGTAACACATGGAAAATCTGTCTTGACCCACCCAGAGCTAGATATAAGGATCTGATGACCCCCAGAGGATCTCCGGATGTAACAGGACATCGGGAATGTGCCCAAGTCGGGGGCATTCGTGCGGGGATGGTCACGTGCACACGACAAATTGACTTGCGTCTACTGTTGTTGAATTCTACGCCAAGTCAGGATTTTGAACCATTCTTGGAGATGTATGAGGCTTTATAAAGCCCAGGGGATGCACAAGTCAACGATCGGACCGCCCATTCCAAGTTGAATACCATTATTATGTCGAACATATTCGCCGTGATGCAGAGAAAATGCTCAGACAGCCCCGCAAACTGGAGGATATGATATTCAGCTTATATAAGAGGCCCCTGCCTTCAGTGCAGCGGGAATGTGCTCAAGTCAATGGCGACAAACTGACTTGCGCAAGTCACAAATGTGACTTGCACGTAAGCATGTTGACTTGTGCGGGCGACAAATTGACTTGCGCACCCAAATCCACGCACAAGTCAATACAAGTCAATCCGCGCGGGCACAAGTCAATTTGGCAAGCCAAAAAGTGAACCCTCGGCATAAGTAAAGGGCATAAAAAACCAGCATATAGGTCATAGATATCATAGATCATGGTAGTAGTCATCCTCTTCAAAGTCTTCATCGCCAACAGGGAGATCATAATCGAGCATATAGTTACGGAAAGGGAGTGGGTCGTCCCGCAGAATCACCCCATTGTCCAGCGTCAATTCTGGGAGCCTGGTGCACAAGCTTGGCCACATTTCGAGGGCCACGATAATATCTTCCCAGATGCAATCGGAAATAATGAGCACCTGCAGCGCGGGGAACGAGTTCAAGAAGATCGCGACATTCGCATACGACATCCCTTCAAAGTCCATGCTGCCCAGCACCAGCTGTTCGACGAGGGGGAATTTCGCCTTCGTGATGGGGAGGCTGCCGATAAAATCGAACCAGATGCGCCCGTCGAGGTCCCACGCGTCGATGACGAGGTAGCGGAGGCGCGAGGTCGGAAGCGCGGCGAAGAAGGGGCTGCAGTCATATTCCTCTAAGTTGCCGTCCTCGTCGACCGTATTGTTCGGTGTGGCACACAAATTGCGTAGCGCAAGGCTCTGCACGGTGCTGTCCGGCTCCGGAGCAGGCGTCCCGACTGCAGCGGCCATGGCGGGGACACACATGCGCTCGAATGAAAGCTCGGTGGCAGAGGCAAAGAGCCAGGGATTAAGGCGCCCATGATCATCGACGACGATGTTATGGAAATCGTGTTCGATGATAAGGGATCTGAGGTTTGGGAACGGTGCATTTCCCAGCGATACTCCTCGAAGATGTGCATGCTCCAATTGATCAGCGTACAACATATGAAAGGGAATGTAGCATGGCAGGGGATGCAAGCCCGAGTCCACAGTCTGCCAGTGCGCGGGGACATCGTCGTTGTGGAGGAAAACACCGCGGATGAGGGGAAGGTTCTGCGTGGGCAATGCAGTATAAATTAAGGGCCATGCCCTCTCGTGCGCGTGGACTTCAAGGAGCGTGCAGCGGTCCATGTGTTCCCGGACCACGTCCCACAACAAGCGGTCCAGCTTTCTATAATTCATCGGGGGTCCAGTGGAGCCGGGTGAGGGGAAATCCAAGTGGACGGAGATGGGGCGGCCTTTGGAGCGGTGCAGGACACGCTGGACTACGTCGGAGTCCTCGATATCGGTCTCGTTGATGCGTACGCTGAGCCAAAACGACGAATTTTCTACGGCAACACCATACCAGTGGCGACAGGCGGTCGCGATGCGAACTGCTTCAGCAGTGTCGAAGAGCTCTAGGATTTCCAAGAGCATCTCGGGTGGGAATGTCTGAATGCGGGGAAGTAAAGGAAGAGGGGTTGGAGTAATAGACATCGCGCTGCGACGGTAGGAGGAAGACAAGAGATGGCAAAGTTGTTTGGATGTGTTCAGTTTTCTGTGTGGCTCAGCTCACGTGTGTGCGCTTTGGATGCTGCGTCGGGCCACCACATTCTCCCCGAACTATCAATAGAACCCATTGTGAGTCTTGATATAGAAACAGACGCCTCACATTGATGTTTGCCGTGCACATTTCTGAATGAAAATAGGAGGATTTTCGATTTCCGGCCGGTAACGTGTGAACAGGGGGAGACAACTCGTACCAGAGAAATCGGGATAGTTTCGGCACGCTGGAGACTGTTTTTAGCATGGTGTGCATGCAGATTCAATCTGCCCCAATTTAACCGTCAAGGCTCTACTAAATCGTCAGTTTACCCCGGATTCGGATGTAATAAGTGAATAATTCGCGCCTCAACGTATGCTGTCAAAAGAAACGCACTAGTAAAGGACCTGATGAGCAAAAGATAGGGCAATATTTGAATAGTAACCTCTTTTTCCTCCCCTGACAGCGCAACGCGGAGAAGGGAGCATCAACAGAAATGTTCTGCAGACGCCTTGCTATCCCGCAGGTTCATGAATCTAAATGCACGTTACTTGGAAGATGAATGCATCAGCCGTGGAGCAGGCGAACAGTGCCAGGGCGGTTGAGCCAGTATTTATTGACCTGTCATGGACCCAAGGTCGCAAACTCTTTCTTTGAGTTTGGGCTTCGGTAGGATCGTTCTAACCGATGTGAAGCCTGTAAGAGCCAACTTAAACCTGTGAATCTATGGGCGATACAAGTAGCGGTACCATGAGTTTTGGAGAGGGGTTAGACATCGACATGAGTGGTCAAGGCAAGTTTGGGCGGACTTTGTCGGCCGATTCTTTAGCGCGATCACGTGTCCGGGCCAATATTCTCAGGCTGCTGTTCCCACTGTAAGGCCCGGGCTCGAGTCGAACGAGTGTGTCCTGCAATTCTCTGTTGAAACTTGAAAGGGTGATGATTTGTTGCAAGTGTGTGGGGACCACATACCACCAGGCCTTCCTCTATGCCGTTTGGAGTAGTAGATGACGAAGAGTTGATGTCCGGACAGCAAGAGTGCGTGATAGATACACGAAAACATGCGGACCGTACCCAGCAACTACGAAATTAGTTATATATGCTAAAACAGAATATCGGAACCCACCCCATGCTCACCCGCACTTGCCAAGAGTCGAAGAAAATCTACAGCGCTCAACCAAGGTTCAGGCTCGAATCGAACGAGCAGTCTCCTACGAAACTTGGTGCTAACCATCAAAGTCTCCATCTGAAGACATCTAGGCGCGGACCACCCGCCACTGGACCTTATTCCTTATTCTCTCCCTCTCGAACTTAGGTAAGTGGGTTATTGATAAAACCCGGATTAATCGCGACGAAATATAACTCCCCTCTCGTTCAAGGACCAGGCTCGAGTCGAACGAGCAGTCTCCTACGAAAATCGGTGATAACATTCATGCTCCATCAACAGATGTAGGCGCGGACCACCCGCTACTGTAGTACTGGACTTTAGTTCCTCCCTCTCCAACGTAGGTAAGTGGGTTATTGATGAAACCCGAAATCGCGACAAAACACACCTGCCGGCTCGGTGTATTGCAAAATAAATATCTGAATGACCAGGACAGGCTCACCTGACAACAGAAAAAAAGAGTTACTGGTGAAGGTCACCCGAGAATAAAAAGATTTACGAACTGAAGGCTGCAGGGCCCGGGCTCGAGTCGAACGAGCGCGTCCTGCGAAACACTATGCGTATTCGGGTATCGGATGCAGGCGCGGGGCATCCGCCACCGAGCCTTGCTCTCTCCTGCTCGAACCTGGGTAAGTGGATTATTAATGAAACCCGGATTACGCGATAGTGCGGTTCACCGCTCATGTCGACCGCCGTCGAGCCCAATCAAAGCATCGCAAAATGAGATTTTCTGAGATGACCCCGGGGACAGATTAAACTGGCCCGAGAACAAGCGAAAAGAGGATCCTGTGGCCCAGCGCGCTTGAGATTACATGTAAAATAACGGTAGCTTCACGGGATAGGGCCTGGGCTCGAGTCGAACGAGCGCTCCTGCGAGACGTGGTTCTAAACACTTCGTGCATTGGATGCAGGTGCGGGCCACCCGCCACCGGGCTCTTCTATCCCGAAAGATCTATCCGATGAATCAGAGCGGATCGCATAGGGCAGTGCACCGCGTTGCAGGGTGTATACGCACCTGCTCCGGTGTCAAGATACATTTCGGATCTCGACCGGTACAACTAGTGGAAGTTCTCTTTGGGTGTCAATCAGCCTCTATTCTCGTAACCTAGAGTATAAACAAAAAGTTTATGCCTCCAAGCCATGGCAAGGCCCGGGCTCGAGTCGAACGAGCGCGATCTGATTTCAAGGGATACGACTTGAGAGTGCTTCAGGTGCGGACTTTCCTCCACAGGGCCTTCCTCCTCCTCCCTGCTTTTAAATCGACTCTATTTATTAGTGAGGGTTGGATGAATCAATCAATCAAGCCGAATGACTCGGAGGAGAGGTGTTGTAGTCAGCACGAGTGAACCTGAGAACAGAAAAAAAGGGTTACTGGCGAAGCTCACCCGAGAATAAAAAGACTTCGCCGAAGTCGCAGGGCCCGGACCCGAGTCGAACGAGGGCTTCCTACGAGACGTGGTTTCCGGCGTATTGGATGCAGGTGCGGGCCACCCGCCACCGGGCCCTTCTCTCCCTGAGGATCCGACGAATTAGTGCGGATCACATAGGGCGGCTCACCGCGTTGTAGACGCACCTCTCCCGGTGTCAAGATGCATGATCTCGACTAGTAAATGAGTGGAGTTCCTCTTCGGGTGTCAATCAGCCTATGTTCTTGTAACCAAGAGCAAAAACAAAAAGTTTATGCCGATGCACAGATGGAGGAGGAGGAGGAGGAGGAGGAGGAGATAGTATTACTGCAGAGGTCCCTATAATGGTAAGGCCTGGGCTCGAGTCGAAAGAGGGGTTCCTGCTCGATCTGATTCCGAGGGAGACAAATCGACTGATGGGGGTGCGGATTGTCCGCCACCGAGCCTTCCTCCTCCTCTCTGTTCCTGAATCAACTCTGTTTAGAAGGGTATAAAAGGTTCGCTATGCTGCGAAGTATTGAACAAGGGGATGTGGAAGTAGAACCTGATGCACGACGAGGATAACTTGAGGAAGGAATTTTAGGGGGAGTCTGAGGAGGGCGACTGTATCAGAGTTACTCTATGCTTGTATTTTGGTTGGTAGAATCAGTACGGCAGTTGAAGCGCGCGAAAAACCAGGGAATCGAGAACAGAAAGAAATTGAGCGGGTGATCTGGAGGGGCTGTTTGTATCCTTCAAGTTGAATGGATGAAGACTGGCAAAGGATAGAAAGCGACGGCGGCGCCGTGCAAAGAACCAGGAAGATTGAATGGTGCATTAGAGAGCCCTGAGTCCTTTCGGAAACTGTGCGCAGTGGAAGTCGGAAAGAGAATTCGGAGATTGCCGCCGGGCAGCTCCGCCATCAAGATAGCCGATTCCAGCTCTTCGCTTCGTCGATGCAAGCCGCTCGGCCGCGCCCCGCTCTGCGGGCACTCCTGGTCGACATCTCCGGTACGCTGCACGTCGGATCCAAGCCCACGCCCCGCGCCGTCGACGCCTTCCGCCGCCTGCAAGAGTCCGGCGTGCCTTATCGCCTCTGCAGCAACACGAGCAAGGAATCGACGCACGACGTCTCTGCGCGCCTTCGCGGCCTCGGGTTCGACGTGCAAGATCCAGTTGTACGTGGAGAGTGCGGGCGTGAAGTGTGGACGAGTATCGGCGCGGTGCGGAGTGTGTTGGAGGATATGGGTGTCCGAAGGTGCGCATCTCACTCTCTGGGCGGATAGCGTTAGTATAATAGTAACGCGCACGCGAGGCCGTATCTCATCCTCTCCGACTCGGCGCGCCAGGAGCTGCTCGGCGACGCCTCCGCCCACGAGGGCGAGGACGAGGACAACACGCCCTACGATGCAGTCGTCGTCGGCCTCTGCCCCGCGCGCCTCGACTACGCGCACCTCAACACCGCCTTCCGCATCCTCGCGCGCGAGCACTCTGCCCCCGCGCCCGCTGCGCGCCAGCCCCCGCTCATCGCCGCCCACGTCGCCCGCGTCCTCGAGGCGCCCACAGGCGGGCTTGCGCTCGGCCCGGGCCCGTTCGTCGCCGCGCTCGAGCACGCGTTGCGCGTGGTCCCCGGGCCGGGCGTCAAGGCGCGCGTCGTCGGCAAGCCTACCCGCGCGTTCTTCGAAGCGGTTGTGGGGGATGTGGATGCGTTCGGTGCGGTGCGGCGGGATGTGAATGCGTTTGACGACCCGGGACCCGGCGCGCGCGTGGCGATCATCGGGGACGACGTCGAGGCCGATTTGGGCGAGGGGGCGCGCGAGCTCGGACTTTGGCGCGTTTTGGGTGCGTCTTTGTTCTCTGTGTCTTGTCTTCTACACTCTTTCTTATGATTCCTCCTTTTTCATTCCTTTCAACATCCCTCCTATCTGCTCTCTTCTGCCGTTATTTCTCCTCTCCCTTTCTCTCTTCCTTCTTCCTCCTCCTGCTCTTCTCTCCTTTTCTTCTCTGAATTCACCACAATTCTCGCTCGAACTCCCCTCGGCCGCCCGCAGTCCGCACAGGCAAGTACCGCCCCGGCGATGAGCACCGCACAGGCCCCGGGTCCACGCCGCCGGACGAGGTCGTCGACTCGTTTGCCGCGTTTGTGGAGAGTTTTCTGGATCGCGGGGGGCGGTGAGGGGATGTGAGTTGAGTGTAGGTGTGTGGGGAGGTGGATTTAAATCGGGATTAGAGTAGAATAGAGTTTCATTGTAGACGAGCTGAGCGCGTTTTATTTGTATGCCAAGGTTGAACGTTGAACGACGTGGAAACACGCCGCGTAGTAGTTGCTTATATCTCTGCCTCCACACACAGGTAGGAAAGCCTAGGTAGGTTCAACAGTAAGCTGTTCTATAGACTATAGCTGTAACTAATTCACATCTGCGTTGCACAGTATTCGGAGCCAATGCTGTGCATATGAGGCGTTGCGCGCGAGAAGAGTTTGCAATACTTCCATGGAAGCGACGGTGGGCTAATCGCTCCGCTGTATTCAGTTTGAATTCAGGTTGGATATTTTTGGTTGAATCCCATGGTTGAAATATCGTGATGACATAACCCACGAGCTTTCCACCTAGGACCGGAGGCGTGAAAAGTTAACGGACGTCCAACGCCACGAATGAAACCCGTGGGTTGGGTTTGAGGAGTGGGATCAAACGTGAATGACGGGCAACACCAATCGAAAATGAACTTACGGCAATTGATTGGCATCTGGCATCGCTCAAAGGCTCCCTCCATCAAGTGGGAAACTCACGCATGTAACACGATACAGTTCAGTCGCAGCCGCTGGGACTCCGAGCCGCAACCTAGAAGTACTCTCAGGCGGGATTGCTCAGCGCCGACGAAAAAAAAAATTCTTCCATGAACAAATTCGGACCGTAATAATTTAGTATACTCTGCTTTCGAAAATGCACGACTTCTGGCACGCGCTGAGGGAAGCTATATGGGGCCAGGCAAGTTCCGGGAGCTTCTAATTACATGCGGCGTCGAGATCTAAAACTGATAGTTCGAGGAACGTGGCTTCGAAACTGCCAGCCTGAGTGCGGTCTTGGTGCGGTCCACGAGATCTCCTACTAGAGAATAGGCTCCATCCGAATGGAGGTGACAGCGAGTTGCCCATGGTATAACGATGCTGGCCGCCTAGAGCGATTTCAGTCTTTCACGATTCGGAGACCGAGAGGTGGCAGTGTTGAGGTGGTTGGACAGTACTTACTATTTCGACCGTAGATTCACATTACAGCTATTTCCGAAAAGCTTGAGACAACGTGAAATTTTTTGCGCGAACAAAACTTTGATGGGAGGCTAAGGATTATATTACCGGTTTGGGATGTCGAGCCGAGATTGCCGTCGCTTTCGTGTAATCCGTTTGCCGCCCAGATATTATTCCATGGGTGAGCTCCTCCCCTCGGGATACCCAGCTGAGGCTTTCTGAGAGTCTTATGAGCCTCATATGCAACTCACATGCCCCGGGAACACATTATTGACACGAAAATTGGACTTCGCTTGGTCCATCACGAAATGGGGCTGATCTATGGAAAGCCAGAGCACCACGCTCGTTTGATGGCCGGTGATTGCCCGATACGGCAGTCGGACTGATGACACCGAGCTGTTGCCAGACACCTCTCGTTAAGTATATGTAAGCCTAACTGCTGATGAGCAGCGCGCTGAGCACGGAAATGATCCGGTGATTGTTGATCGCGCATCACTCCGGCCGCCTTTACTTCTCGCGCACACCGATAGCTTGCCCGCTGCCCGCCGCCCGTTTGCCCATCCAACTTGACACAGCAGCACTGGACTCTCACTGCATCCGATCCCCTTTATCACATGGTCCCCTTTCCAACCACGCTCCTGCGAATTTTCCCGGCCTCAAGAGTCTGTTCATTTTATTTTCCTTTCCCTCGTCCTCTTAGCCTCGGGCTTTCCGGCTTTCGGGCGAACTTTGATACAAATTCCACTGGCTTTTTTGAATCCGATTATTATATTCATCTCACACCACCACTCACTATAAAATGAAGCTACTTTACCCGCAATAAAACAGGTTTTTACCCTCAGAATCTGAATAAGTTCGCAGGAGAGTTAGGAAGCATATTTTTTCATAAAGCATAGATCATGGAGCATAGAGTATACATTTGAGCACGTTTAACTACTCTGTCTCCTCGAATGTGGGAAGTTTGAACCAACGACAG